TAAGGTAAATCCTGAAAATATTCAATTTCAATAAATCGTAATTTTCAGACAAGCCGTTCTTGAATATGACATTTCATTTTCGGGGTACAATTACCATTCCCAATTACGATTCGCAACAAACCGCGGAACGGAAAGCATAAGACTTCCTCAGATTCCATTAAGTAAAAATATGGAATGTAGGTATTAGTATTAATACCAGGCTAGCAGGGCGATCATAACTAACAGGATTGAGCACTTCACACCGAGGGGAGATAACACAAAGGAAGACAGGAAAACACGATGAAAATACAGCGATAATATAGCAACGTAGACAGGAATTCACACAGCAGACGATAAGAGTGATCTATAGTTAATATTGCAGCAAGATAATGTGTTAATGATATGCACGTGATTATCAAATTACGTGATAACCTATTAAACAGAGCATGTTATTCGAGACAATCTACTGGATTGTATTGTATTCAGTCCTCAAGCTAACTATATCCAATCTATTGGATAGATGAACATGTTAATTCATATATTCTCAAACCGACATTTATCCAGTCAATGCTATTGCTGAAAGGTGATATAGAAAGTAAATGAGATGGAAAATAACTCTTAGCTACTAAACACCAATAGATGATGATAAGGCCTTTAGAAATATAGACGCGAGTATGGATTTTAGGCAAGCTTCATACCGTTATTTTGGTCTTTAATCAAGAGCTCTTAAATCTCTAAAATTCTTTTAGACAAATAAACTATATTATCACGTACCGGTATTAGCTTAATAATATGTGAATTACATGAATTCACAATAAAGGTATCAGTTTGTTCAAAATAATAAGCAGTAGACGGCACGAAAGAAAATCTGTATTGGACGATTAGGCGCCAGATCCGCAGTAATTCAATAGTTGAAATACATCAATCATCATGGCATGGTTCAATGGAGTTAGAAGACAGAAATGATCATGGCTGATAGAGAAGTTCTCAAATCGCACGAGGATATTTGTAAGACATAGATGAAATGAATTACAGCCTCTGTAGTCTCCCTTTCGATACTATTTAACCTGCACAATAAAATCAAATGTCGTCAAGCACTTAATTCGAAATTTCATTGAGAAAAATGAAAAATAAGTAGTTAAAAGGTGAGCTTCAAGATCTGATGGGAACGTGAGAAACAATTATAATCTCGATAGAAATAATTATTATTTCAGACTAAATATTGATGGGAAAACCTAATTAGAATATTTAAATAAACGAAACGAATGACACTGCGGCCTAAGCATTGAGAACTCGTTATTTGTAGCGCGTTCGCCTGCATTTAACCTAAGTATCATGGTTACGCAGAAACATTATGTAATGTATCGAGACAAATGAACGGCATATTATACGTTCTTAGTACATATCTGGTGGCATGACATTATTATATGACTAATGAAATGACTGTTCTAGTCGCTGCTAGCCACACTGCGGTGTGGCTCATAGATCAAATTGTTCTCATTGTATTCATTGGACTTGAAACGTCGAATAATGAACGCGGTATGTGTTATGGTGACTCATACATTACCTAGGTTCAAACTTGACCTACAAGAACGACGTGTGGTGAATTACTTGTGTATGAAATCTTTAGCAGTGCCTACACGGAAATGATAATCCACCGTATCATTACGAATTAGAAATATTAGATTAAGATTTAGCGATATGATAACGGATGATTTTGTAATGATATTGGATTCTGATTTAGCAATGATGAACTTATGATATTGGGTAAATATCGAAACCATAGAACCCTTAACACTCCCAGCCGTGAAAATAATTAACTTCGACTCTTGTGTAGACAAATTCATCGCGATACCAAGTTCGTCTATACCAATAAAATACGATGTTCAAAATTTACCTATTATCCCATTATACCAAAATTTGAATTGATCATGATTAGCACGTTAACTTATTAATATAATAATAATTAATTAATATGAAATAATTAATTAATATAAATAATTAATTAGCATCATAATAATTAATTAATATAGAATAATTAAGCATCAATCGCATCCCACAAGCTGAGACGAGCCGTCGCCGCTGCATCGCTATTTTTCCACACGCCTATTTCTTATCACTATTAATACTGTAATTCTGTACAGGCGTGAGGTACTAGCGACCAACTCTACATAATGGCGAGATTTGTGATCATTTTAGTGAACTAGAAGTGCAGGAACTATACGTCGGTGTGGGTAACATCCACATAATGAAACATAATCACACCCACTATAGAAATTAATTTGTTAATTATCATTGTGACTGACAAATACGATATAGTATTGTTTTGTACATAGGGAATTGTGTACCAAGTGATTTGTACAATTTCATTGCTGAATATTTTTCCACCAATTTACTATATTTACAAAAATAACAGACATGATACGAACAACGATGAGAAAATCACATCTACAGTTTCCCCTCTTGAAAATCAACGGCGGATCAGACACGGCCGACCACAGGCCATAGATGGCCACCGATAATCCGACGATGATAGAAGAGATGAAGATATCAGTTTCAAGTGAACAAACTATATATGCGAACAGATCTGTACATCATGTGGGTTCCATACAGGCCAATGACGTTGAAAAAACGTTGACGTTTTGTCAACGTAGACAAAACGATGTTGGTTCAACGAGTTTAACCAACAACGTTTAATCAACGTTTTTTTAACGGCAGATGCTTTGTAGCAATTATGTTTCACGTAGCAAATCTCAAGTCTATGTATTCTAAATAATACGGAGAACTGAACTTAGCTCGAAGTTTTGGATAATTTTTAATCAACGTCAAGAAATGTAACTCGATAATTTAACAAATCGTCTGGGTTCTCGAAAAAATCGGAAGAACGCCCATATTTTCTAAAACGCAGCTAAAGTGTGTGATCCAGTTAATCAAGTGTATTATTACATTCTCTGGAGTGAAGTGCTACATAATTCACGGTATTCACCAAGCCAATAACTACATTACCCTACGTGACCAAGACGAAGTGTTAACCCCACTACCGTGCCGAACATGGTGCTTCATCAGGCATCTGATGTTGAAACCACGTTGATAACACGTTGCTAATCATCAACATTAGCTCGTAATCAACGTTGTTTCAACATCATTCGTCTGAATGGCTCAGAAACAAGCGTCGGCTCTCACCCTGCGGCTCTTGCTCTGGTAGCGCACGGCTCTTTTAGTGTCGTAAGTCGCGGTCTGTACGAACTCTTCAGCTGAGCTCACGTTGAACTCAATGCGGTCTACCATCTCACCCTGCACATTGAACTCAATGCGGTCTACCATCTCACCCTGCACATTGAACTCAATGCGGTCTACCATCTCACCCTGCACATTGAACTCAATGCGATCCCCTATTAAACTCATAACATCATACGCGTTGAATGAGAATGTCAGACCAACGTGATCATGCGTGTCTCTAACATGTTCTTCACACTTCAGAGTCACATATAATGCTTCTTTTATTAATATTTAACATTTCAATAAAGCACCAAAGAATATCGGTATTTCGTAAGGGTAATTTCATGCCTTCAACGCTTTGAAGATAATTGCCATTAGTCATTTAACATTTTTCTTTTTATTAGCCATTGCATTTTGGAATGCAATAAAGATTACAAACACGTAAAATTCATTGAATGTTGTGATTCATTTCCCAGCCTGAATTTAAATAAGTCTGAAATCTAAATAATGAACAATTTCTCTCACATAATTTGTATCAATAATTGCTCTCAATAAATTCATTTAAACTTATTTATCAATAATAAATAAGCTTATTTATTAGCGGGTAAAAACCTTCAAAATAATTCCTGCGACGGAACCTATGCATTGTTATCAAGAAGACTGTATACAATTTAATAATGAATTTAATAGTAGTATAAATGAACACAAGAATTAGAGGGAGGAAAAGGAAAGATAAATAGGAAAATAAAGCCCTGGCACTGCTCTGCAATAAAGGGTTATTCAAAACTGCTGTTCTGGGAGCTGCAACACTTAACCTGCGGCCGGGATAAAATACATATGAATAATAAAAACAATGAATTAGTGATATGAATAATGAATACAATGAATTAGAAATATGAATAATTAATACAATGAATCAGACACATTAAATGCTGTTCTGAAATGAATCACCTAAACAACAGACAATGTTGATTGCAGATGAAACAAGAAATGATGAATGATATTAAACGGTGATGATGGTAGCGGAAAATGAATAAAATGATGTATTTAACGGAAAGAAGAGGGATGAAGGAGAGAGGAGGGATGAGGGTCAGAGGGATGAGGGCCAGAGGAGGGATGAGGGCCAGAGGAGGGATGAGGGTCAGAGGAGGGATGAGGGCCAGAGGAGGGATGAGGGCCAGAGGAGGGATGAGGGCCAGAGGAGGGATGAGGGCCAGAGGAGGGA